AAAAGATACAGAGGCATGAAAAAAATACAGTGACAGGGAAGCAACAGGTATTTCAGTATGACAGGAATAAAATTGGTGAGATTCTAGTAGGAAATAAAGTTGGAGAAATAGAAAGGGGTCATATCATCAAAGACCTTGTGTATAATACTAATTTTTTTTTTACTTTATTCCTAAGTAACGAGGAGCAATTGAATATGTTTTTCTTTTTAAATGAACTTTATTAAGGTACATTTAAAATACAATAAGACACACCCATTTTATTTTTTTCTTCCGTTTTATTGAGATACAATTGACATGCAGCACTGTAAAAATTTGAGGTGTATAGCATAATGATTTGACTTACATACATCAGAAAATGATTATCACAATAAATTTAGTGAACATCCATCATCTCATATAGTTACCAAATAAAAGAAACAGAAATAAAAAAGTTTTCCCTGTTATGAGAACCCTTAGGGTTTACCCTCTTCACAATGTTCATATATAACATACAACAGTGTTCATTATATTCATCATGTTGTACATTACATCCCTAGTACTTATTTATCTTAGAACTGGAAGTTTGTACCTTTTGACTGCCTTCATCCAATCCCCCCTCCCACCATCCCCACCTCTGGTAACCACAAATCTGACCTCTCTTTTTTATTTTTAATTTAATTTAATTAATTAATTTATTTATTTTTGGCCGCCTGGCTTATGGGATCTCAGTTTTCTGACTAGAGATTGAACCCTGGGCCATGGCAGTGAAAGCCCAGAATCCTAACCACTAGGCCACCAGGGAACTCCCTGATGTCTTTTTCAATGAGTTCGTTTGTTTGTTTGTTTCTGAAGCATAATTGACCTATAACACTATGTTACTTCCTTTTACGCAGCACAGTGATTTGGCATTTCTACACATTTCAAAATGATCAGCACAATAAGTCTAGTTACAATATGTCACCATACAAAGATATTACATGGTTATTGACCATATTCCCCACACTGTACATTTCATACGCGTGACTCATTTATTGTGCACCTGGAAGTTTCTACCTCTTAATCTCCCTCACCTATTTCTTTCCTCCCCCTAACCCCCTCCCTTCGGGCAACCATCTGTGTGTATTCTGTATCTATAACTCTGTTTTTGTTTTGTTATGCTTGTTCATTTGTTTTTTAGATTCCACAGGTAAGTGAAACCATACAGCATTTGTCTTTCTCTGTCTGACTTATTTTCCCTAGCATAATACCTTCTAGGTTCATTCATGTCACAAATGGCAAGATCTCATTCTTTTTATATAATATTTCATTATATATCGTTATCCATTCATCTATTGATGGGCATTTGGCCTAGTGTGTGATCTGTCCTGGAGAATGTTCCATGTATATTTGAAAAGAATGTGTATTCTGTTACTTTAGGATAGAATGTTCTATTAATATTAAGCCATTTTGTTTTAATGTGTCATTTAAGTCCTGTGTTTCTTTGTTGCTTTTCTGTCTGGATGACCTATCCATTGATGTAAGTGGGGTGTTAAAGACCCCTACTATTATCGTATTACTGTCAGTTTCTCCCTTTATGTCTGTTAATATTTGTTTTATGTATTTAGGTGCTCCTATGTTGGGTGCTTGTATGTTTACAATTGTTATACCTTCTTTTTGGATTGATCCTTTAATCATTATGTAATGTCTTTGTCTCTCTTTACAGTCTATTTTGTCTGACATAAGTATTGCTAACCTGGTTTTCTTTTCATTTCTATTTGCATGGAATACCTTTTTCCATCCTCTTACTTTCAGGCTGTGTGTCTTTAGATCTGAAGTGAGTGTCTTGTTGGCAGCATGTATATGGGTCTCGCTTTTGTATCCATTCAGCCACTCTGTGTCTTTTGATTGGAGCATATAGGCCATTTACATTTAAAGGGATTATTGATAGGTATGTACTTATTGCCATTTTGTTAATTGTTTTGGGGATGATTTTCTTCTTTTGTTCTCTTCCCTTGTGATTTGAAGACTACCTTTAGTGTTATGTTTGGATTCCTTTCTTTATTCTGTGTGTATATCTACTACAGATTTTTGGTTTGTGGTTACTGTAAGGTTTATGTATAGCCATATATATGATTAGTTTAAGTTGCTGATCTCTTAAGTTCAAACACCTTTTGATAATCCTGCATTTTTATACCCCTGCTCCCACTCCACATTTACGGTTTCTGACATATTTTCCATCTTTTTGTTTTGTGTATCCCTTAACTACTTACTGTGGATGTAGATGATTTTACTGCTTTTGTCTTGTAACCTTCCTACTAGCTTTAAACATGGTTGATTCACTACTTAACTGTATATTTGCCTTTACCATTGAGCTTTTTCCTTTTGTCATTTTCATGTTTCTATTTGTGGCCTTTTCTTTTCGCTTAGAGAAGTCCCTTTAACATTTCTTGTAAAGTGGTGGTGCTGAACTCTTTTATCTTTTGCTTGTCTGTAAAACCTTTGGTCGCTCCATCAGATCTGAATGAAAGCCTTGCTGAGTAGAGCATCCTTGGTTGCAGGTTTTTCCCTTTCTAAAATACACCCATTTTAAGTGTGTAGTTTGGTGAGTTTTGACAGACATATATACCTGTGTAACTACTGCCCCAATAAAGATAATAGTACATTTTTCCATCTACCCCAAAAGCTTCCTGTGCTCCTCTGCAGTGCCCTCCTCCATTCCCAGCTCGAGGTAGCCACTTATCTGTTTTCAGTCATAATAGATTAATTCTGCCTATGCTAAAATTTCATATTGATAGAATCATACAGTATGCTCTCTTTTATCTCAGTATGTCTTTGAAATTCATCCATGTTCTTGGGTGTATCAAAAGTTCATTCCTTTTTATTGCTAGGTAGTATTCCATTGTATGAGTGTATCACAATTTGTTTATCCATTCATCTGTTGACAGGTATTTGGGTTTCCGGTTTTGAACTATTGTAAGGTTGCTATAATCATTCATGTACAAATCTTTTTGTAGACGTGAGTCTCTAGTTCTCTTGGGTAAATAACCATACAAATATATGATAAGCACATGAAAAGATGTTTAGTGTCATTAATCATAAAGAAATGTAAATTAAAACCACAACAGGATACTAGTAAATACCTATTAGCTTGCCTAAAATTAAAAGACTGACCATAACAAGTGCTGACGAAGATGTGGAGGAACTGGACCTCTCAGACACTGCTAACGTGAAAATAAAATGGTCCATCCGCTTTGGAAAATGGTCTGGCCGTTTCTTATATACATAAACATTAACTAAGCAGTCCCACCCCTGAGTTTTTAACCGTTGAATCATTTTAAGCAGGGTAGCAATATGAAGAGATTTTATGTTTAAAGGAATACTCTAATGGCATTAAGGATGATAGATTCTGTATGTTTAAATAGTCTTCACAAACATTAATTTTTATTGATGAAAAATCGTCTGTCATGTTTTAATACTATACGTGGGTAATCATTTCCTTAGTGTGAATAGTTAGGTAACATTAAATATTTCATTACTGACTATAATTCCTAATAAACATAAGTGTTGTTTCTGCTGAATTCATTCCTTAAAATGAGCTCCTAGGATCAGAATCACTGAGTCAATATTCTTAAAAATCTTTATGCTTTTTGCTGCTAAGTGACATTCTGACTAAGGATTATACCAGTCAACAACAGGTTATATATTACTAGTTATTTTTCATAGATCAGGAAAGAGAAGCTCAGATAGATTATGTGAATTAGCTAACATAGGTGGAAAAAGGTACAGCAGTATTTTGAGCCTGTGTCCTTGATCCCTCCCTAGTCTTGGGTTTCCTTATTTTTCTGTTCACACTTGTGCTAACTCAGAACTTTATCTGGAGAACCCCTATTCTGTGCCATAGACTCCTCTAGCGTTAGGAGTACAATGAAAACGCATAGTTCCTGTTTCCACAGAGCTTATGGGCTAGTGACATTTCCAGATTCCTTCCTCTCTATCTGGAGAAAATCTCGAGCCAACAGACTGAACGACAAAAGGAGAAAGAGAAAAAGTGTTCAAGTCATATAATGGGTCACAGCTCAGGTACTCATTTTTGACCCAGCTTCCAGGACCATGTCAAGAGACACGAGGGAATTGCATCTTCTGTTGTGCCATTACTTGGTTGGGCCAGTCATGTGGGTGGAGGTCTGGAATGAAGAAACCCACCTCAGTGGGGATTAACTACAGATATTCAGCGTGAGTTTAAGAAGGAGAGAGTATACAGAAGCACTCAGTGGGGGGAATGACAGGTTGCAGCAATAACGGGGGAGTCTGACAGAGGCATCTGAATTGAGTGCATTTTATTGTGAATGACTCACATTTCTTGAGTTCTTTCTGCGTGGTTGGCATTGTTCTAGGTACTGGAAGAAAGTAGAAGTGAAAAGCTCTGGGGGCTGGAGATCAAAACGTTCCAGGAAACGTCTGGCACAAAGCAATGCAGGTGAGGTAGGAGGCGGAGTGCAGAGGTGGTGGTGTTTCATTTGCGTGTGCTCCAGCTCCCTCCCTCCCTCCTTCTGGGGGCCCCTTTCCTATGTCCTCTCCCAACATGCACCCCCTGGGCCTCCAGACACCAAGCGAGCACTGTTGTGTTGTCCCAGCCCTTTGCAGAGGCACCTTGCCCAGGCCTGCACACCTACTTTGGGATCGAACCGCAAATACCTACAGATATCAGCCAGGTCAACCTAGTGAGTAAAGAAAGATGTCGTGGGGAGCCAGTGGTAGGGGCTGCAGAGAACTGGCCAGCTTCTTGTCCATCTCAACAGGGCAGCTACTGCTTCAGGTGACTGAAGCTAGTCATACTAATGAAACAGGGCATCGCAAGACGGCCCAAGGTTCCAGGAGTAGGGGAAAACCAGTTTTCATCTCAAATTTTATTATGTTTAAATATTGGAAATCCAGTTAATTTAACCTTTTGTGTTACAGTTTACATTGGCCAAAATAAAATAAGAGTTTAGACTGGATTCCACCGGGAGCCTCTCGTCTGCGCTTCTGTCCTAGGCGATGCCACAATCCTTTTTCTTTCTCTCTCTAAGCCTGTCTCTCAATCCTGGGAGGTTACTGCTCAACTAATTAATTTCCAAGGGTGATAATGGCTTAATAGCAATCAATTTCCTTTCGTCTTCAAAGGCATGATCTGGAGGTACTGAAACTGATGGGGAAAATTGAGGCTTCATGGGAGGTGCAAGTGATGAGTAGGTGGGCGGGCCCTTTTTGTCCCAGCTCTCATCAGACCATTTGGGAAGTCTGTGGGCTCTGACCATGTCTAGGGTCAGCGCCCTCTTCAAGGGTTCTGGGGACACTCCATGATTCTTTATGAGTGGGTTCACTTGGGTCTGGGGCTTGGAATGGAGAAGGAAGGCTCTAGGGCATGGTGCCTATGGAAAGACAAGGGCGACTCGGAACTCCTCTCTGTGCAGCTCGGGTTTAGCACTAAGGCCCTACCTGCATAATGCAATGTGGTAGCCACTAGTCACACATAGCTATTTACATTTAAATTAATTAAAATCAAATCAAATCTAGGTCCTCAGTTGCACTAGCCACATTTCACGTGCTCAATAGCCACTTTAGCTGGAAGCTACCATATTAGACACTGCAGATATGGAACGTTTCCATCATCATAGAAAGTTCTATTAGACAGTGCTGCTGGACCACCTGCCTCATGGGGAAACAGGCATGGGAGTCAGGAGAACTGAGTTTTGGTCCTAACGCAGCCATTCATTGGCTCTGTGACCTTGGGCAAATTATTTAATTCCTCTGGCTCTCTTTCTTTATTGATAAAATGGAAATGATAACATTTTCCACAAGATTCCCTTGAGCATTAAAGGAAAAGACAAACATATTGGCACTATAGTGATTAATAATGTTGCCCCCCAGGCAGAATGTTGTCCTGCTCGAGGGGCAGAGCTGAGCTGAGGAGGAACATTTTCTCCCCTCACTGTGGTCTCCAGTCTGGTTCTAGGATCTTACTGTATTAGTTTTGCTTATTATCATAAGCTCAGAAAGATCCCCTAGGTGCATGTAGGCAGGGAGGATAAGCAGGAAGGAAGAACCAGGCTGCCGCAAGACTTGTGTAGAGCACAGTCTGCATGACTGTCCCGGGTGGCCTGAGGGAGATTCAGTCTTGAGCATGCACCTGGGAACGATGAACAAAGGAGAATCTGAGGGGTCAAGCAGGTCTGGTTAACAGTGGACATGGGTGATGCTGGAAAGCAACAGGGGACTAGATCTAGTGCTTGGCATGTAGTAGGTGCTCAAGAAATACCTGCGGAATGAATGAATGTGCAAAGCACACAGAAGGTAAAGGCCAACAGTCAGCTTCTGGTGACCCTGGCTGGCTTCTGTGATGGTTTCCCATAGGTATAAAGCCTTGAGTTAATGGAGAAGGGGGGGCAGTGGAGGGTGGGATTCGCTTTCAAATAGGATGCAGTAAATACAGGGGAAGTATAACAGCCTCTATTTATTGGCCGTCTACTATGTTCCAAGGGTTCTGCATGTTTATCTCTACTCCTTGCAAATACTCTGCAAGGTACATGTCTTTATTACCATTTTAAAGAAGAGCGGGTTGCCCAGAGTCACCTGGCTTTGTGCGAGCATCCGAGATTCAAACCTAAAGTCCACTTCTTTCCTGCAAAGTCAAATTACTCTTAAACAGGTAACGTGTTCTCTCTGAGGAGGCCTGCGTTGTCGGAGCTTTAATGCGAGAAGTCGCAACAATGTCTGCTCTTCAGGTGGACTTCTGACTAATGCTCTCTTTGGTTTGGCCCGGTTGGTAGACGTACACGAGTATTTCACAGCACTTTACCATCTGTGCCTTGAACATACAACAGCAGTGAAGTTATTTCTCTCAGTTGAAAATGGAGAACTGCAGCACCAGGAAGTTATATGACTTGTTCGAGAGCCTAAGAGAGCAAGTCGCTGATGGAGTGTATATGGAAATGAGGACATTCAGGAGACTGTTCGGGGAACTGAAATGGATCTGTGACACGTCACTGTGTGTATCTATTGCTAAGTTATGGAATTATTTAATGCTTTTTGCTTCTTCCGCCTCAGTGCTTTTAATTGTGTATTCCAGAATGCAACAAAATAACGCCAGAAGACTGTGCACCACATAGAACACAAGTGTCAATCACAGGCCATTCTGCTTGGAGGTTGGTTTGTCTTGTGCAAAGGGAGTGTCCGGTCATCAGACCCTATCTGTTACCCATGTTTCTACTAATACCTTTGTGGATGTTCTACTTACAAGAGTCTCTACATGGTTCAGGGCGTGTGGAGGAGCGAGCAGTCAGAAAGAGGCCAGGGGAGTCTTTCAACCAAGGTCCTTCCTGGACTTTTCCTTTTACATTTACCACTTAGGTGATGTCTTTCATTTGTGGATATAGCCACATTCCCTCATGTTGCAGTGAGGACAGACCTGGGGGTCTAGTGGTCCTGGACAGGGTCTTCTAGGTGTGGGGTGCCCAGTTCTGTTCTGGGAGTTGTTGGAAGGCACCCTGGAAGAAAGAGAAGAGAAGGAAAATGGAAATCAATCAGAGCAAGTGATAGTTGCCCTGAGGCAGCGTTCTTCAAAATGGGTTACACAGACACTGGTTCCGTGAGCTGCTCTGTGATAAAAGGATTCTGATTCAAAGATTTCAGGGATGTGGCATATTATATCACCCACGTGGAGCTTCACAATTCAAATTGGCATATTAAAGCTTACAAAAAGCCTTTCAGAAAAGAAATTCATTTCTTTTCATTTAATAGAGTTCTTCTAAAATTTACTGGAGTGGGGAACCCCATCTCTCCACCCCCTGTGCCCAACACATCTCTTAGTATCCCAGGAAAGCACTTAGCATTGAAGGAAGATGAAGATACAGGAGAAGACGAATCTACTGCCTAAAAGAACGTATGCGCCCTCTTTCATTGTCTGTTGCTCAAATTAGTAAATCCCAAACTCCATTTAGTAAATCTTCAAGGTATCAGGAAGCTCACAAAACATTATTAAAACTTGGAGAGGTGCATTCACGTTGACTGGAAAACCCCCCAGCGCCATATGCAATGTTTAGCAGGAAGCAAAGGGCCATAGGACTATCCTCCCTGAGTCCTGCTCATTGAGTCATGTCCTCAAAGAATTCTTGCTGACTCCTCTCTAGAGGTTGGTCTCCTTCTATATTCTCATAGAACCTGCTCTTTCTTTCAGAGAACTCATCTATTTTGTAACTAGGCATTCATTAGCATTGGTTTATGGCTTCCACGGGCCTAAAAACTGCAAGAGAACGGGGACCTGCACACAATTAGTGTTCTATAAATTTTTGCCAAAAAATTTTATTAAATCCATTAGAGATCATGATAAATTCACCTTCCTTGAAACTCATTATACCAGACACACTTTACCCTCTAGGCAAAAATCTGTATTAGATTCCTAGGGCTTCCATAATAAATAACCATACACTTCATGGCTTAAAATAACAGAAACTTACTCTCTCACAGTTCTGGAGGCTAGAAGTCTGAAATCAAGGCAAGGTTGGTTCCTCCTGGAGGGTCTGAGGGAGAATCTCTTCTATGCCGCTCTCCTGACTTCTGGTGGCTCCTGGCAATCCTTGGTGTTCCTTGACTTGTGGCTGCATCACTCCGATCTCTGTCTACATCTTCACAAGACCTTTTTATCTCTGTGTGTCTGATCAAAGATGCCTGTATGAAACATTGGAATCCTTCATACATAGCAAAAGCCTAAATAAAATGTATTTTTGTACCACCCTGTCCTACTTTCCTGCCAACAAATATACACCCACACCCTCCTGCCTTTTCTCACAAACCTTCTATGTTTTCTAAAAACTTGGGGCTTACACATCTTACTATCATTAATTCTGTCAACAGGAGTTTGTTGGACAGCCTTGAAGGAGTGGTAAGATTTTCCCAGGTGGAGAAGACAGAGAGGTATTTCAGGCGGCAAAACCATAAGGAATAGAAGTTTGATCCAGGTGAGGAAGACAGAGTATTTTCCCTCTCTCCTTTCTTTCATATTTTTCACTTTCCTTGTACCACCAAGCCACAGAGTTCACAAACTGTACATCGTACAACTTGTCCTCAGCTCCAGAAGTGCCAGGTTGGTTCGGCTGGAACTGTAGACAAGACACTTCCTGTGGAAGAGGCGGTTAGGCTGTGGGCAGGAAACAGGGACAGTTAACAGAGAAGACCTAGAATTTCTACCTTCAGTCTGGGAAATTGCCTCTTGAATGAACTATATGAGGACTATGAAATCTTGGATGGTTTCTGTCCTTGAAAAAAGTAAGGCTGAATGTAACTTCGATTGGGAACTTTAGTTCTGCTCTAAGCTTTGCTTCGTTTGGGGGTAAGTTGAGAGCAGAAGTTCTTATCTGGCCAACTGCTACTTCATACAGGATCTGAGGTCCTTGTAAGAGGACCAGATGCCCCTGTGGTCTATGATCTCTAAAAGACGGAACTAGAAGAATATCCTTCCCCTACTTTTAACAAACTGTAGAGCTCATGGCTTACTTTATGAATTAACATCTCAGGTGAATATATTGACGGAGCTTGGGATGTGTTCTAGCTTTGCGTGATGAAGCAGGGAACTATTTGGACCCATGGTCACCTGTTGGGCTAGGATTCCTCATGAAGGCCCTCCTCTTTGTGACTTTCTTGTATATAAATCTTCGTCTTCCCTCCCTACCCCAACCCAAAATAGATGCAGTTATAGAGTAACACCACCAGGCAGACATACCTGGTAAGTATTATGTATTCTTATTATCCCAAATGACTTGAGAAGAGGAACTGAAGGCATAATGATTTTCCATCAATATACCAAGAAGAAGAATGAGGGATGGGACAGAGTTTGGTCCTTTCTTGGTTAAAAGGAAGGAGAGAGGTGGTATGTCTGAAATAATTCATTTTTTCCATCTACTGCCTTTACAAAAAGCAAAATATTAACCTACAGATAAGGAAGAGCTTGAGGAAAACAAATGAAATGCTGAGGCATTATCCTGATGAATGCCCAAAACACACTCCACCCGAAGAAGAAATATTCCCAAGAATTTTGTGAGGAAAGAGGAAGGAGCAATGCAGTAATGTCATTATCCATGTCTGTGGAGACAGGAAATATTTTTTGAAAATTAAATTTCGAACAGATAGTGATGAGGTTGATATTGAGACACTTGAACACAGAAAACTCTGATGAGTTTCAAAATTTTGTTTTCTAATATTCATCTCCTTTTCTTCTAGGAAGGAAAAATTGATGAACTTCAGAATTAAATTCAAAGGATATAGTACTTGGTGTGCTGGAAGTATTCACTGGCAAATATGTCAGACCCTAACATAGATTGGTCTGACATATTTCCATGGGAAAAACATCACATCTTTTCTATTCTTTCAAATCGGGCACGTGAAATGCATTTCATTAAACATGATGCATTAGGGGGCCCTCAGCTCACATATTTTATTTAGCAAAAAGGCACAATACACCTTTCTCTCCTAATGTCTGTTTGCTTTGAGAAATCTTTTTGCCCTTCATGCACACCTAAGAAGCACATCTCCAAGGTACATAAATTTCCAGACTATGTTTTCAACCAGGTGAATTGCAAAATCGATCAGTCAGTCCTTCCAACCCAGAAGAGAAATTGTCATTGGAAAGTTCCATTCCCAAGGCTGGATCTTAGCATTGAGGCAGACCTGGATGGGGAAGGAGGGTGGGCTTCTGTTGGGACAAGTGATGGGAGCTTTGGGAGTCTTCCACTCTGTGATTGATGAAACCCCCTCATCTGAGATAATACTCCTTTGGCCAGATGTGCTGAATTCTGGGATTGCACAGGGTGAGTGCTAATGGGAGTCAAGTCAAAGACAGCGGTCAAGGAGAAACGAGAGGAGAGAGGATATTTCCAGATGAGACTTGAAATGAGATCATGAGTTGATGTGGCGAAGACAGTCAGGATGGCCGTTCCAGATGACAGGAGCTGCAGAAGATGTCACCACATGTTTGTCTTTAGGAAGAGAGAAAGCTTAGAGGGGCAGGAACACCAAGTATTAAAAGTACTACATGCAACACAGAACATTGTTTTAAAATCTGAGGACTTCCCTAGCAGTCCAGTGGTTAAGATTCCATGCTTCCACTGCAGGCGGTGCAGGTTCGACCCCTGGTCAGGGAACTAAGATCCCATATGTCGTGTTGTGCAGCCAAAAAAAAAATAGATAAATAAATAAATAAATAGATAAATAAATAAATCTGAAAATACTACAAGAATACAGATTTCATTTTAAATGGATTTGCTGACATGATTTTCAAAAGTAATTTTACATGGTAGAGTGGTTGAATTGTGGTCCCTCCAAAAAAGATATGTCCACATCCTAGTACCCGGAACCTGTGGATGTGAACTGATTTGGAAAAAGCATCTTTGCAGATGTTTAATTAAGTTAAAGATCTTTCAATGAGTTTATCCTAGATTACCTGTGTGGGCCCTAAGTCCAGTGACAATTGTCCTCATAAGAGACAAAAGAGAAGACGCAGACACACAGAGGGAAGAAGTCCTCGTGAAGATGGAAGCAGAGATCGGAGTGATGCAGCCACAAGCTGATGAACGCCTGGAGCCATCAGAAGCTGGAAGAGGCAAGGAAGGATTTTCTCTGCAAGATTTCAGAGGGAGTGTGCTCTTGATTTTGGTCTTCTGGCCTCCAGAGCTACCAGGGAATGAAGTTTTCTGTTGTAAGCCGCCGAGTTTGTGGCCATCTGTTACGGCAGCGCCAGCAAACAAATACGGGTGGTTATGGCAGGGTCTTAGCATCGAGGCAGACCTGGTTTTCAATTGTGGTCCCTCCCCTTCCTGACCTTTTGAAAGGCCCTTCTCTAAATATAGCTTCAGCACCTGTGAAATTGGTAAGGCAATAGTATCTACCTGATAGGTTGTGGGGAGAAAGGGAATCAATGTGTGGAAAGGATGGAACACAGGGGATGTCATATAGTAGATGCTCAGTAATGGCAACTGACATTATTATAGTGATGAATATCTTCCTTACTCCAAACCTCTTGCACTGGTGCTGACACATAACCCACTTAGGCTGGTTAAGATGCCATTCTCTCTCAGTTCCAAACACACACTCCTGTCCTCTGCTATGTTGGGCTGGGTCTGGGCCTCTGCTAACCACACGTCTCCTCTGCCAATTAGTGACACTACAGGGAGATCTGGTGTTGCAAGGAGGGGAGAAGGACTTGCTCTTTGTGTTTGCTCCCTTTTTCTGTCAGTATTGCCCCAGCAGTGACCTTTCAACCGGAAGCAGCTGTGGTTCCAATTGGTTGCTGTTTCCAGCCTCTTTCAGTACTTCTGGAAGCAACCCCATCACTTGTGCTCTGAGGTAACAGCACCAGTGGGGCAGTGCTCCCTCCTCAGAAGCCTGAGTCATAGCTCCCAGGGACCCTTCTGCAAGCTTCTAGGGTCTGAGGACTCCAGCCTCCTCTCTGTTCCTTTAGCCCTAGATGTTTCCTTTGCTACTACCTACATTTACAAGCTTCTGTTACTTAGGGTTCCCTGTTTGCCTTTCTAGTTCCTCAATACCTGTTTCACCAATTCTCCATATTAAATTCCCTCTGTTAAAATCACTGGTGAAGCTTCTGTTTTCTGACTGTACCTGCGGGATACAGCACTCTTTGTGGGTTTCACGGTTTGCTGTATGTGTAGGAAAGGGTTGGTACAGCTGACCCAGCACTGAATTGAAACCAGAAAGACTTAGTTTCACATCCTGGCTCCTTTACTTTCCAGCTGAGACATCTTGGCCAAAATACTTGGCTTCTTTGAGAGTCCAATTTTCTTATTTGTGAAATGGGGTTAATCATGTTTATCTTGTAGGGTTATATATGATTGAATGAGATAATGTCTAAAAAGTGCCTGGCACCTAACAGATATTCAACAAATGTTGGCTATCATGTTATATGTGTTAGAAATATATCTTCGCATCTGTATATCTCTTACAGGTTCCTTTGCTTTTTACCGTTGAGCATATGAGCTCCTCTGGGCAAGTCTGGACTCTCTTACTTCAGCTTTCTTGGTTCATTTAGGGTGTTTGTTTTAGATGAGAAGACTGCAGTTCTGTTGTATTAATTAGCTTGATCCCCAACTGATTTAAGAATGAGGAAGTGATAGTTGTGAGTGTGAAAAGAGTTGGATTTACATTGTGCAACGAATTAGGATGAAAAACAAGCCCCCTGTTGGGAAGCGCCACTGGGACACTTTTGACAGCCTGGTACTCACCACGGCTCACTCAGGGCTCTTTCTCACATGCATGTGCTCCTGACTTTTAGAAGCCCGTCCAGTAAGAGGTCGTGACATTCCTGGGGGTGGCAGAATGTGAATTAAAAATTCAATGAATAAAATCTGACCCGGACTGTTTGCGTAAGACTTAGTCAAAACTCAATTGAAGCCACTCCCAAGGTTAAAAACTATTTCAATGCCAAAGAACAAGGTCTGCAAACCGCCAAATATTCTCTGGCCACCTGCTGTAGGTAAGGCAGCATTCTGGAGGGGCTGTCAGAATTAAAGGCAAATGAAAACTGTGATCTTGGCTGGTGTGGGGTTTCCAGTATAATGGGGGAGACCAAACTGAGAGGTCCAAACACAAATATAACATTTGCATATGTGATTCCTCTAGCTTTTAGAATTTTCTGGAACTCCCAGAAAGATTCCTGAGCTGGCAGGTGCAGGGCCTGGGGCATAGGAACCACCACTGAAAAGTATTTTTCAAAGTCTAGTGGAAATTATTAATCCCATTCTCTCTTCCTACCCACCTCCAGCTGACCCCAGTGCCCTGATACTGCTGCTAGCCACAGAAGGCTCCGTCCATCCACTTGGCTCCCAATTAATTCCCCTCCCCCACCATCAGTGTATCATCCCTTCTCTCTCAGGACCCTGCTTTCTTTATATGAGAACATTCCATCAGTCAGCTGTATAAACCATGTATAAAACCAGACACTGGGCTAGGCCTGTTGACACAAAGGCACACGTGAACCATAGATCTTGGCCTCAAGGAGTTTATAGTCTCAGCAGGGGACACAGACAGGTGAACAAAGTGTATATTAAATGCGCAATGATTTGGGGTCCTAGGACGATGAAACACGAAGAGGGTGTGGGCATTCTAACAAAGACGTGATGAGAAAAAGTTTCATAGATACTTCAAAATGGGTAGAAACACAATGCTGTTAATTGTAGGGAATCTGAATCTGGAGAGTGAGGAAAAGGGAATCGCAGGCACTATGGCGAAAGAGAGGATGGGCAAACAAAATGGTGAGCTCTCAAAATACAGACGCATGGCAGGTTCTCACTTCAGAGGATTGAGAAGGAGAAAGGCCAGGCTAGTGGTGAAGGGGACAGTTTGGCAGACAGCAAAGGAGAAAGGGTCCTTGCTTTTTTTTTAGAGGATTCTTGTTTGAGCTAACTTCGTTTCACACCTCACAGCCTGGTCCCTGACATTCCGATCAGGTGTTTGGCACTGTCTCCTTAATGTCTGTTTGCCACAGACTTATCCACTATCATGTCATGATTCTTGGAATGGAGTCACATTTGAAAAAAGTGTTTAGAAGATGCAACCAGGCTTCATACCTCTCTTACCAGCTAGGACTCTGATGAAAAGTCTACTGTGCTCCCCCTCGCCTTCCATCCCAGGAATCAAGTCCTAAAAACATCCCCTGGGTATCTGTTGCAACCTGGTTTCATGCTAGTCACCATGGGGAGGGGAGTAGCTAGTGCTTTTTGAAAAACATTTACTGTTTTCCAAGCACCGCGCTAGCTGCTTCGAAGGCAAAAAAAATAGGGCACAGTCCCTTCCATGAAGAGCTTGCAATTTTTGTTGGGGAGTCAGACTTAAACATGGATTTTCACATACTATAGTCATGGCCAAGGGAGCCCTTTGCCCAATCTGGAGCTTCTGGGAAGGCTTCAAGAAGTGGTTGAGGCTAAGATGAGTGTTGAAAAGTGAGTAAAGGGTAGTTATGCCAAAAACAATGATGGACCAAAAATTCCAGGCTAAGGAAAAAGCAACAGCACAGAAACTTGAAACAACAGAACGCATATTAGGAGATACAAATGCTTTAGCACAATTAGAGCATAAAGTGTGAGACGGGGGGAGCAGAAGAGGAAATAGGAGGGTAGAGGCTGGTTCATACGGGACCCAGTAGGCCAAGCAAAGAACTTTATTCTGTCACGTTGGGAAGCCATAGGGTGGTTTCATGTTGCAGGTGACGTGGTTGGATGTTGAACTGCAGAATAGAAGATGGATCCAGGCAAGAGGTTTCAGGACTGGGAGCAGGGAGTCAGTTAGGAGTCTTGTTCAATAGTCCAGGCAAGAGACGCTAAGCTCCCGAGCTAGGAAAAGGGCGGTAGATGAGGTGGGAGGAGGGGACAAGTCTAAGGGCCATTTAGGAAACAAAAGAAGCAATTGGGTTCAGTGATGGATTGGCTAAAGTGGGAGAGATAAAGGAGGAGGCCTGGTGACTTAGGCTGAGGCTGGGCTGAATGGGTGCCTGAGGCTTTGATGGGCTGGGACTGGGAATACAAGAGGGAGAACAGAATATTTCGAGGAAGTGGGGGAAGGCTGTGAGTTCAGCTGTGATGGCTTGAATATGGAGGGCTTCGAGGGCCTGAAAAAGGGAGTTGGCCGCATAATCTGAAACTCCTAAGAGAGGTGGAGTGACCCGTGAGCATCATCACCATATGGGTGAGAAAGGCCCCTGTGACGGTGACTGGAATCACCCGTGAAGAGAAAAACCGGAACTAGAAAGAAGACCAACACATTTCCCTTTCCCCGGAGGGACTCTACATTCTACTGGGGGAGATAAGACTTGTACACAAATAACTAGAATACAAGGAACCATGTAATAATTCCTGCCATTACAGCGACTGCATTTTCCAGGTCAAATGTGGGACCATGTGGTCTCATCAAGGTGTGACCACAGACACAGATTTTGAAGGAGAGTTGTGTCAGAAGTCCAGTTGCCTTAGTTGTAATAGAGGTATAAACAGAAGTGCTTTTTTTTTTTTTTTTTTTTTGCGGTACACGGGCCTCTCACTGTTGTGGCCTCTCCCTTTGCGGAGCACAGGCTCCGGACGCACAGGCTCAGTGGCCACGGCTCACGGGCCCAGCCGCTCCGTGACACGTGGGATCTTCCCG